ATGAGCCTCTAGGTCTCATTGTTCCAGATGAGGGAGTCAGTCTTAAGAGTGTTTGGCACTGAAGGGAAAAAGGAGTCAGAGTTATAGGGAATGAACAGGCCCTAAAGAGGCAGGATGCTGTTGTAACAATGGCTGGCACAGTTGGGGGGGCCATTCACTGGTTGAGATTGCCATAGGCATTGATGTGAAGAAGCATATGTGAGCAAAAGAGGCAAGGGTGAGAAGGGAAAAGCAAGCAAATGTATCAGAAGGGTCCTGTTGGCAGAAAGAAACAAGAGTAATCCAATTAGACTCATCTTAATATTAGTGTGTTTATGATGAAGGATATATTTTATTTCTAATTTATCTTATAGCCTATTTTCTAACTTTATTTTATTCTCTCTTTTAAAATATATGCATTTACCTTTCCCCTAAAGAGACAGATCCTTAAATTAAGAGAACTTGGTTTTGATTTCCATCTGTTCTACTTAGCAATGAGCTGATGTTGGGTAAAGCATCTTTCTGAGCCTTAGTTTCCTCATCTGCAAAATGAATATAACAGTTATATATGCCACTGACAAAAATGTTGTATCTGGCAGCATTCTGTAAATGGAAATGCTGTGCAAATAATACTAACTCTCACGCTTATTTTAATATAGGGAGCCCTAGTTCTTACTTCGAAGGTGATCATGATATTCCAGTGCTTGGGAGAATGAACTCTCAGGTGAAGGAATTTTCAGGAGAATCTTTTAGTGTAAAGTGCAAAACATGACATATTTTAACATGAAAATAGATGAAACTCATAAATATATACACCTACTATGTACCCACAAAAATTTTTAAAAATTAAAGGAAACTCCAGAATTTTAACATTTGTGAATAACTAGGTATCCCACATACCATATTCATAGCACAAAATACAATTCTATGTGTGTGCATTTTTAAAATCTTATTTTAGAAAATTAAATATTTAATAGATAATTACTATCTATTCACTCCATAAGCAGTGAAGCAGCACTTACATAATTGTGTCAAATTTCATTCTACTCATATTCACACATTAACCAACAGGTGTATTGTAAATATTGAGCTTTTGCCATTTGGTCCTTTACAGTTTGAAATGTGAATTTTTTAATAGATCTTTACCATTTTCAGAGAAATTTAAGCACAGCTACATGTCCATTAATTGTGCTCATTATTGTGAGATCCATTCTACTTTTTTTCAAGAACTATCAGTGAAAACAAATGGAAACTGTAGCAGTTGGTAGATTATTGAATGTGGATTTTTTTTTTTGAAGCTCTTTACAGAAATTCACAGAGAGGGGTGAAGTGGGTGAAATGATGTCTTTATGATCCCCTTCCCTCCTCACTCCCATAGACCCATCTAGCCAGTGTCACTGTCTTGGAGAGAGGCTAGGTTATTTTACTTATAGCCTGATATTCCTTCTACCATGTAAGTAAAAAGAATCATTTCATTGTGTATCTCTGCTATGTACTCATAGGATTTCACCAAATTATCCAGAATCCTAGAGTGCAAGGCATATAATTGGAACCCACCCTAAAAACAAAAACTATGAAAAATCCTGCCTTTTAATTTCATAGTTGCTACTCATACAAATAAGTTACCCTAGAAAATTCATCAAGTTATTACTTCATCCAGCCAAAGGAGTTAATAAGAATTGTTTTTTCCTACTATTCTGGATTGTTTTGTAGATGAAATGAGGGAATATGTATGTGTGTGTGTGTGTTAGTTTTGTGTTGCCATAACAAAATAACACAGTCTGGATGATTTATAAAGAAAAGAAATTTATTACTCACAATTGTGGTGACTGAGAAGTCCAACCTCAAGGTGCTAGCATCTGGTGAGGGCCTTCTTGATGCATCACCCCATGGTGGAAAGCAGAAGAATAAGAGAGTGCACACATGAGAGACAGATGGAACTTGTACCCTGAAGTCTTTCTTTAATCAGCCTTAATCCATTCATGGCTAGGGCCCTTATGACCTAAATAGCTCCCAGGAGGCCTCACCTCCCTTTTGAATTAGGGATTCAAAATTGAAAATTTTGAAATTGAAATTGAAAATGAATTTTCAACATATGCTTTTGGGGGTACCCATTGAAAGCGTAGCAATATATGTGCTTCAAAGAACAAAGATTTTGGGGATCCAAAAGGTCAAATTTAGCTCCACATTGGGTAAATCATGCTAACTTCCTGAGTTTTGGTTTCTTAAATGGCAAAACAGAGGTACCAATATCTAATTCAGCAGATTACTGTGAGAAGTATGAGATACCACATGTAAAGGACCTGGTACCTTGCTTAGGATTTAGCCCTCTAAATAGTGGCTATGATATCATTTTGTTGTTGATAAGAGAGTTAGGAATTTGTAGGAAAAAAACTTAGTTCAAGTCCTCAATTCTGCCCATTTTGTGGAACCCCAGACCAGTCCTCTTTTTTCTTTTTGCTGCTGCTGCTTCACCTTTTTAAACATGTAGCATACATGTAATAACACAATCTAAGTCTTCATTTGGTTATTATGATTAAATAAGGGAATACAGATTAAAACCTCTAGTATAGTTCCTGGCACATAGGCTGCTATGTAAATGTATTTTAATCTAAATTTAACGTATATACCTCATCCAAGTTGTAAGTATTAGTGTCTTTATTCATCCACAGACATGAAAACCCTGAGTTAGATATGTCTCTGATTTTACATTTTCCAAATAATTTAGTCTTTGCGAAGTTATTCATATTTTTTTTTGTAGTATATGCTTAAAAGTCAAGTACTTGAACAAACTGGCTCTGTTTACCAGCCTTATAGCTTTATACTAGTTAATAAAGAGGACAGGAATGTTCTGCAGGTTTCAAAATCTGGCTGCTGTTTCTTTAACTCTGCAACTTAGACAGAAGACTTCTGTTTCTTTATGAGCACACTACAGTGAATATTTTGTCTAGCTGCAGGGGAAAAGCTTTGTCATGGACTTTGCAGACAATAGCCTTAAAAGTAAAATGGTCTGCTTTGGTGCCTGGAGGTTCAGGGGCCTATTGTTAGTGCACAATGGATTTCTATTGCTGCATTCCTGCTTTGCAAAGGTTTGTTAGCTTTTAATGACTGACAGTACTCTATTGCAAATACCATCTTGGCTGTGCCCTGTTTACATGCTACTCAAGAATTTTTGTAGAGTGCTGGAAAAAAGAAACAGTGATGTTTGTTTGACCTACTCTGATAAGGTTTAAGAAATAATTTCACTCTCAAACCGTTTACTGGAAATGTAGAAATGTTGGAAGTTCTTGCAAAAGTATTTTAAAGTTACTTTTAAAGCCTCAGTGAAGAGAAATACTGGTTACAATATGAAGATAATTACTCTGTTTTATTACTCCTAGAATTGTTGTTAATATTCTGAAATAATATAGAAATTGGGATATTTTTAAAAAATCCCAAAGTAAATTATTCAGTATTAGTTCTTAAATGTGAAAAATAGAGCTATGTATTTTGTTCCAAAGGAAAAAATTCATTTTTCATTTATCCAACTTCATTCATTCATTTCAAATTAATTCCATAGGTAAATGTGCATATATTATTTGTTGTAAGTGTATATACATATTTGCACATATTGTATATATGTATACATATAGACTATGTAAAAGAGTAATCATTCAGAGCTTTTTACCATTTTATTTTCCACAAGTTCCTGACATGTGAGACAAAAGTGTTCCATAATGTTATATTTTTTTTTCCATGGAAAATTGCATCTCTGCTTTGTTGAAAACTCCACGCAGGCTTTGTGACTGCTAGCTGATTGCTGTAAAGATGGGGCCCTGGAAAAAGTAGATAGCATTAGCTAAACATGGTAAAGAAAACTCTTTAAAATGTATTTTACTGTGGGGAAAATTAACCAGTTTCTAATAATATTATGGTGTTTAGGCCAGACGGTCCCTTTGATAAGTTAACACGTACTCCCTTTATGCTCCTAGTGGGGGGTAAACAAATGCCTGAACAAACACAAATACACATAAACACCAATGTGGAGAATGGCAGTGTATGTCTTAGATCTATATAATAAGTGTGGGTATTGTTATTTAGATGGAGCATACTGGGACACTTATCTTTTAGTACATTCCATTTTCTAAGTGAATGCAGTGCTAATTGTGGGATTGAAAGCCATTGTAATTGTGTACCCATCTAAATGCTGACAAGAATATACAATTATATTGTTTGAAACTGAGTTTAATGTTTGGGAGTTTTTATGAGCATTTATATTTACTTATACATTAAAATTCAACACAAAAGTAAAGGTCAAAAACTATGTTATATGTAGAAACAAATAGCAGACTACAGCAGACCTTGCTTTCTCAAATGTGTGTACCCTGTCCCAATACAGGGCATTTTTAAAAAGTGTGATACAAATCTGAAATAAGCAAATAATAGGTTTCCGTTATAGGCATTTCTCACTTCTCTAGATTTTGCAATCTTTTTAAAGCTTCTTTTATACCAACTTTTTTTTTTTTTTTTAATGTGCGCAGTACTGGCAAATCTTGCCACAGTGTGCTTACCACCACACGATGTTAAACACATATTATAAAGTGGATGTAATTGTAAACACACAGAGGGATATAATTACATGTAGCAGATTTAAGAGCTAATTCTTTGCCTTTTTTTACTCTGCATTTTATCAACATAATTATTTTTTGACTGCAGACTAACACCCTGAAATTGACAAGCATCCATTATAGCAAGAATTTGTTCACCAAATTGAAAAACAATGAGCTGCAAGGTTTATGTGTACCCATTGTCATAAAGAATTAGTATGGCTTTGTTCCGCAAGAGGAAAAAGCTAATGATTTTGAAACAGCAGGTGACAAAACACATTCTTTTTTTCCACCCCTGTTATCAGTTTTTTGATGAAGCCATTATGAAGTGGGGCTGGGATAGGGATGGCCTTATTTTTAGCAGATAGACTTTTAATGAGCTCCATTGTAAGGAGAGTCATGTTGATTTGCTTACCTCTTTTTTTCTTTACTTAGAAACCCCCAGTATTGAAAAGCTACTCTCAAAGGACTGGAAAGACAAGCTTCTTGCAATGGGATCGGGGAACTTTGGCGAAATAAAAGGTAATATAGTGTGATTATTTTGATCCAAAATGTACCAAAATGAAGTTGATATTCAGGGATATTAATGGTGATAAAGTATTTTTGCCCTCACCCCTCTTCTGCTTCTTGCCTTCTCTGTGTTTGGGGTTTCTTCCTTCTATCTTGAAGGAGGATGTAACAGGGTTCTTTTATTATTTTTTCTTTGTGCCTTATAGAATAAATGATACGTTGTTTTCATGGAGTCACCCCACTATACCTCTAACAGGGTCTGATTTTCATAATTTAAAAAATTTATTTATTTTATAAGTAAGAATGTACCTACAGCAAGGTTAAAAACTGTATATTATAAGATGATTTTCTACATTTTACATATAGGAAATATGGGTGTGTATGACCTACATTTAAAACCAGAAATGATCAATGGGGAGAGCATTATAAAAGGTTGTTTTATACCAGTCAGGGTAACAATTTGTTTTGGTTTTATTTGAATCAACAATTACATCCAACTAAAAAATTCTATAAAAATATTCATATCTTAATAAACTCCTAATAACAAAGGGAGAAGATTTAATTTCCTCATATAAAATAAAAGCAAATTATCCTTTCAATTAATTTAAAAGTATGTTTTCTCAAAACATTAGGCAATCTGCAGTTTCCTGTTTGTTGCTAATGGGACACTTAAGGTTCTGAGTTCTTTTTTTTTTTTGAGATGGAATCTGAGTACTACAATAGGATTAATTCTGGAAAAGTCAAGATACTTAGTCATCAGTATAAACTACTTAGTTATATATTACTGTGTACATTTTTGGTAGAGGCTGAATATATATCTGAAACATCACCAGACATATGAATATACATGTAGAAATATAAGTATAAATAACTTTTTTGCATATGTGTGTCTGTGCAAGTTTTTTCACACTGAGAGAAGCAGTTGTCTCTCTTAAGGCTCTACTCCGTCAGTGTATCCTGGAAAAAGGCAAAGCATCGGTCTTAAATGTTTGGCCTACATGACATTAACATCTGGATATCTAGAAAATTCCAGAAAATGTTTGACTCTTTCGTTTTTCATACAGATCATTTGGAATTATATATATTTAGGCTATGATTACTTGTGAAAAGATGATGAGAAAATGAATTGGTGCTAATCAACAAATTCAGTAACCGAAATCTACAATGGAATCAAATGCAAATGAATGAGAATCAATATGCCTTAAAGAGCTTGAAGACAATGTTTGAGGAGAACTGAGAAGTTTCATCTTCAGAGGCAGCAGGTCCTTTATATTATTTTGATGAATTTTAACCCATTTACGCCTGAGGCATATGATGCATTCTCCAAGGTTTTTTATTCTTCTCTGACCTGGGTGATAACTCAAGAGCAGAGCAGAGAAGACTGCCTTTTCTAAGCCTTCTGATCTCATTCCAATGGAGGACAAACATTTTTTCCCTCCCTTGTTTTCCTTCACAAGTCAAACTTAAAAGCAGCAACAGCAGTGATGACAAGCTTAGAGGAAAGCTCAGCTGTCCCTTTCAGGCTGGCCTTGGGGGTTAGTTTAGGAAGCTACAGCACAATCACAAAAGAAGTTTCTGTCTTTAATTTTGAGTTTTTTAAGCTTCACATTCAGAGTACAAGTTAGGTTATTGTCCTCTGGTTCTGTTCAAAAAACTGTTTTCTGATGCATTTTAAAAGCAACTGTAGGTCTTTCTTCTGTTCAGGTCATGGTTATTAGGTGCTCAGCTCAGGTTTGGCCGTAAACCTGGAAAATAGCACTGGGTTACTTTTCCTACTGACTGCCCATGACAGTTGCAATTACTATCCATTGTTCATAGGTGGTAGAAAGTGGAGAGGATACAATAGTGTGTTGCCCTCTGGGGGTAAGTGAATTTGACTTAAAGGTTCTTGGGGGGTCAGGCACAAAGATTATGTAGTGCCCAGGAATGTAGTTTTCCTGCCACTTCAGAAGTTAGATAAAAACAATGACTTAGTTGTTTGCACAGCTATTTTTTGAGGCAAATAAAGATGTAAGTCTCATGTTCTCATATACTTGTCTAAATGAAGGAGGGAAGGATATGTAAATTTTTTATCTGAAACTATGAATGTATTGAATTATTAGATTATTAAGGTTAATTTAAAATAATGTATTTAAATAGAACCTTTGCAGATGTTAGGATGTTTACAGCCCTTACAGTATTCACAGAGCCTTGGTGTGCCTGGAAACTTTTCTCCTCCATTTATATTCGCCACTTTTCATTTAATTTTTAATTAGTTCCAGGAGATGTGTGAGTGAATGAGTGTGTGTGTGTGTGTGTGTGTGTGTGTGTGTGTGCCCTTTTCTAAATATTTTATACTATAGCCAAGTGAGGACTGAGCTCTATTTTAAGTACGGTTTTAAATTGCTATCAGTGAATTAGTTTCAGAGCATTTGGATAAATATTGCGATCATAGCTTGGAAGAATTTAGAGAGTGTTTCTTACTATTAACATTCAAAAAGCAAAAATGATGAACTTTTTAAAATAGGAAAAGTAAATGGCATTTGATTTGGAGAGTTTAGCTATCAATAGATAGTTGTCATACCCACTTAAAGTCAATCTCATTTTTCAGGAAACAATGTGAGTTAGTAAAGGTCACCTACTTCCAAGAGCATAAACTTATTTTTCATGTTATATTATTTTACCTGTTTGAATTTATATTATTTTATGCTCTGGTACTTTTGAAATGTGAATTAGGTTTTAAAGTCACATTAAAAACAATCCTCTAGCAAACACCTAAAAAGGACACTTAACCTGGTTTTGCAGAACAAAACAGTTTGACTGAGAGCTTCTGCCAGTAGCAGTCAATATATGCTATAAACTGATTAGCTGCCCAAAGAAATCATTTGTTTCTTCTTTAATTATCAGCCACATAGTGTAACTAGCCAGTGTACAGAGTCTTTTGCCCTTGTCTATATCAGAAGCACTGAGTAATAATAATGTGAAACTTGACGAAACATTTTTTTAGTCTCATAGTTACTGAGTTGGGAGGGAAACAATGCCTGTACTCCAGTTGGCAACCAATAGTCACACACGGTTTCAGCTTGCATGGAATTCATTACACGGAAGGTCACTGCATTGGTACCTCACCTGAGGATAGTATCTGGGGATCCATGGCAGATTTAACTAATCTTAGCAGATCATTCGTTTTTCAACAAAGTAATTGCAAAATTTGTATTTTGCTGATTTAATATTTATTTGTAGAATTATAACACAAATATCTGCATGCAAAATAATCTCAATTGTTTTTATCCTGATAGGCTTATGAAAGCAGAACAGTGTACGGGAGGTCACTTTAAAAAAATTCTAGACAATTTTCTCTACCTGCCTTATTTTAAGAATTTTTTAGAGCCTGGTTTGTTTCCCCTTAGCATATATGATGGATTCTTCTGACTCTGGTTACAGTGCATTAATTTAGGCCCACAAAATGTTGAATCTGTTTTTAACTTAAGTGCCAGGGACATTTGATACAATGCAACAATTGGTTCTTTTGCATGGCTCTAATTTTGTGTATTCTAGAAGATAGGCTATAAAGGCAAACACCAACGCCTCTAGAACTGCCAATAAGGGATTCAAGGAGATAATCCATTCAGCAATACTATAGCCTTTCAGAGCTCATGAATTAAAGACATATGCAGTGTAGATTCAGTGTGGATTAAAGTAGATAATCTTTTAGGTGGCATGTAAATGTTTGAGATAGAAGACATATAGAGTCAGTAAGTGGCTTGAAAGGTATAATTATGTCTAAATAACATTAGATGATTTGAAAAAGGAGGCTTGAAATAGGAATCAGATCCCAGGTAAAAAATCTAGTAAGGAATCCTATAAGTTTTGTAAATTAAAAACATGGAAACTAACATTTCAGCATTTCAATATATAAGGGTTTCTATCACTTCGAAAGTTGTTTCAAACGTGTTCTTTTAAAATCTAGTAAAGATTTAAGAATCACATGGTTTACAAACAGTAGTCTTGTGATTATTACATTTGTATATTAACCTAAAACATGTTTATCTGTACATTTTTACAAAGGGTTGGAAATGTTGATTAATTTCTGAGAGAACTGTTGGATCTGGAATTTGTTCAATACAAGAGTCAGCCATAAGGAAGGTACACAACATGTAGTCAGTTACTTCTAAATAAAGTAAATGTTTAATGTTTTTAATCTACTAAGCTTGATTTATAGTTCCTCTGTAGTTTCTTATGAGTAATGTTTTCACTTTTTGTAAAAACTATTTCACAAGAACTAAAGAAAGACTGCTGGCACATAGAATATAAGTTTTCAAAATAAGTTTGGCAATGTCTGTAAAAGCAAAGAGTAACTACATTTTTTGTAAACCAGTGACTTGCTCTGTCTCGTGATGCCAGTGTCCTCATGCCAGTGTGTAAATACAACTGGTGATCATAAGAAAAGGATAGGCCACTATATCTCAATTGATCTGTATATTAATAGTCCAGTCCACAATTAGGAAGTTTTATATACTTTGTACTTTTTGAAGTACTTAATAATGTACGTTTTAAACATAAGGTTAATCAAATACTAAGCTCTTACATATTTAATCTGGGCTTTGTATTGGAAAAAATGTTCTCCTCAACATTTTTCTCATTTAATAATGCCTTCATTCATTTTAAAAAATGACTTGTTTGAGAAGTATAAAGATTCTAAATTAAAATAATTATAAACACATTATCTATTTTCTTGTAGATATGAATTCCAAACCTTGTTTAAATACTCTACAGAATATTGGGTAATGCAATTAACCTAAAACTTTTTCCTGTTTGGTATTAAAATTTACTAGGAAAGCATGGTGTAGCCAAAGTGATTTGATGTTACATGGGCTGATTCTTCCAAGTACTTGTGGAAATTGGGCTACCACTTTCGGTTTATTTCCTCATCTACTCATTTTTAGCAAGTTGACAATTATGATTTATTGCCTGCTACTTAGTGAACATCTTTTTACAGGCACAATGTAAACATCTTTCTTCTAAAATTATTG